CTCTTCATAACAAATAACTTTTGTTTAAATGAACGCAATCAGATATGAACGTATACACACAATACGAATTCTGTACTTCGTGGAAGGCGTGCTCCCTTCTTGCTGTGTCGAGTTACGCTGTCAGTGATTTAACGAGCGGTGATCTACCTTTCAGACTACGACGGGATAGAAAGTATCTAGGAATATATTAAGGAAGATTCCAGGAAAGAGATCGATTTCGATTTATTGTGGTGGTAATAACTAACTGTACCAACGAGCTGTGAGTTGTATCATCTCGCCTGTTTCTACTCACTTGATTTAACTACTTTGAACTGGTATTTGCCGGCGTTATCCACTACAGGAGAAGGTTAGACGCGCTAAGGACTGACACCTGTTAGGCCCGCTGAAGAAGAGATACCTGTTTAACTCTGTGACCGCAGACAATTAGGAAACCTGGTGAAAAAATAGTTACCCAGTATAAAAATGGTTGAAGACCTATGGGTGGGCTATAATCCAAAAAAAGTTTCTCCAACACCTGATCCTGAAATTTCAATTTCGCGGTCCATGCTGGTTCCTCTCACGGATTTACGGATTGCTACACAGGATCGTGGCTTTTGCCCAAGTTTCCCGGGTCGGTTTTGTTCTTGTCGGTCAGTGGCTGTCGTTCACCTGAAAAGCACAAGTATATCACTGCTCTTTATGTTCTCAGCGCGGGGCAGTATCCTTGCCAGCGCAAGCCTTGTGTTTGCTGGTTCAACGGTGAAAAACCTGTTTGCCAAGCTTTTTTTCAAATAGGGCATAAGTAAGAATTAGGTCCCTTGGAGGCGACGGTACTCCAGGGGAAAGAGATCAAGCATCGTGAGACGCGTTTCGTAGTCCACGGATTTGAGGCCGGCAACCATTCTCGTAGCGGCCCGCTGGATACGCTCAATGAGGGTGACGTCTTTCGTGCGTCCTGAGTAGACAACTTGGTTGGCGTACTCCAGGAACGGTATGACGTAGGCCCCATAGAGTATTTGGAAGTCCATGCGAGTAATACGGGAGAAGGTGCGTCGGATCATCCGTAAAA